ATTATCCTTATATATCTAAATCATATACAAGGGTGTTTATCTTTAAAACAAAACACTAGAAAGATTAACTATGTTACTATTTCATCTATCATTATTATACAAACTATAACAAATGAAAAGATTTTTCCACAGATTTGACCTGTGAACATTTTTAGCACAACAGCACCTGATGTCAGTGAGATGTCTATCACTGAGATGTTACAAAGATTCCAATACAGCAAAAAGAGGCGTTCTTGAGAATCCACTTCAATTGCTGTATCAACATAACATTTACTGTAATGGGATCCATGTCACTTAAGACAATGTCTTGGAAATGCTGTCAATTAATTTATTCCGTAAAAGAATATCGGAGAGTATCCAATCTATACACATCATAAATGGTGTAAAAAATGTTTCATGAAAAAAACAAAATAAAAAAAGACAAAGACAAATACCAACGCCATCACCACAGTGATAACAGATGATGCTGATCAATATCCGCAACCAATTCTAGCCAAATATTTGGAAAGCTGGACTCTACAACCTATACTCTACAACAAATACCCGGGTATTCTACAAACACAACCTCCAGCAATGTATCTAGGGAATGTAAACTTCTACAGGCCTTTAAGACTGTGGATTACAAATACAATTACTATTTTTAACTTTGGATTACAATTCATATCCGGATCTATCCAAGAATATCTTACTCTGGAACCTGGTGTTCTTTTCAGTTCTTTCCCAGACAAAAGCTTTGCTCATTTTAATCAACCACCTTTACATGCAAAGATCACACTATGGATATTTTACTGTTACAACAATGATCAAAGATGCTGGGAGCACAAAAAAAACAAAAGACTGTTGGACAACTTTGGTTTACTAATTTAAGGAAGAAATGGTCTACAATGCCCACAGTTTAATGGAGAGGGTGTTACGGGCAAATGCAAATATTACAAGTTTTAGAATGAAATGTTGTATTTCTTAAACTGTGTACTTTGTCTTTAAGAGATATTGCAAACTGACAAGGTGTAAGAAATGGAACATATTGTTTTTCATAACTGTTTCTTTAAGCAATAACCTCAGTGCATAATATGTTTGCGCCATTTTGTCCCAGACGAATTACAATAACAATAATGCATAAACAAGCTTCAAGGCTATACTACGACACTTGCAGTACACAATATACTGTGGTAACCCCAAGTTAATGGAACTTCCCCAAATCCGGGAATCTCCCGCGACTGTACACTTACGACTTAGTATAAACAACAGATAACCTATTCAGACTTTAAGATGCCATCTTGAACTAAGTCAGGAAAATTTCCATGACGTATGCACCCTTTAGTTATGGCCTTGTATGTTTGCCAAATTAAGGGAGGTCCTAAATTGAATAAAGTAAAAGAAGTGTTACTTTTTCATATTTGAACTACAGTAACCTAAAATGGAGACATCTGAGGTATAAATAGGTGTACTTTTAAATGTTAAGACACAGAGGAGAGACTTGGAGACAGACGCTGCTCCATCTTAAAATGACAGAGAGGCTGACATGATGACATGTTCAGAAGGGTATGTTAACCTATTAATGATATTTGCAAGCATGTAATTTAATCTTATAAACTCTGCTATAATGGATTTTATATTTTTATATAATAAATATCCAAAAGACAATCTTGCTTCCAAGACAATCCTTATTTTATATTGTATTCTCAATTATTTATATCTGTTAAATAGAGGATCTCTTACACTATATAAAATTATGGCTAAGATATCTGTATGGTTAGCCCTACTAAGTTCTATGCTTTAAGACATTATAGTGGTAAATAAGGGAACCACACACGGTTACACTAATACTAAGTAAAGATTACATAGTATTAGTAAATTCAGCTCCTACTCGCTATACCATGAGTAGGAGCATGTCTAGTAAACAGTGAGCAGCCAGTGGCCCCTGAGCGGTGGGTGGGGGCCCTAAATAACAATGAGGGGGACCTACTATCCTCCCCCCAGCCCCCACCCCTGCATGGTGGGTGTGGGTCCTAAATAACCTACTGTCCTCCCCCCCGCCCCCACCCCTGAGCGGTGGATAGGGGCATTAAATGAAAATTACCCCCCTTCCAAGGTGACTAGGGGTCCCCCCACCCAAATAAAAGTTATCTCCTACCTACCCCCCTCACCCTAAAAATAGTGAGGGTGGAATAAAATAACTGCAATCTGCAAATTAAAATAAAACTTACCATTTGATGTCTTCTTTCTTCTAAAATCTTCATTTTTCATCCCCAAAAAGGCCAAATAAAAATCCATAATACCCGTAAAATTTAAATACATTTTTTTTTAAAAAGAGCACAAAAAAAAACAGACGAAAAAGGAAAAAAACTGCCGCAAAAAAAAATCCATCTTCACCCATGGAGGGCTCCGCGCAGACTGACCTCTGCACGCTGTGTAATTTGATTCATAACACTCTGATTGGTGGGCTTGAAATCCATCCAATCAGAGTGCTCTGTGTCATTTTACATTTGTGCACGAACACGTGGGAACTGACTTGGCGGTCATCTTGTTCGCACGAACGCATGCACCGGTATTTGGTCGTTGAGTGCATGGAACTAAAATCGGAAACTCTAACTCGCGAACACCGCTAAACTTTGCCGAACGCCTGCTTCAGTGTAAAATTGTTTGCATGAACAAAGCGAACAATTGCTACGTAGGAGCCAGTGGATCAGTTAAGTATTTTGTTCGGTTTTGTACTCCCAAAATTGACCCACCGCTACCACTTTTCTTATGAAACTATTTTGGGCAGATGCCACTTGTGTGGTCAGTCAAATGTTGCCTTCCATGGAAAATCCAAACCACCGAACCGATGTGAGTGATTTTTGCATATGATAGTGTAACGGCACCCCCAGCCATAAAAGGGGTTAATTTTCCCTTCCAGATATACAGGCAGCTACTGTAGACACCAATCCACCAAACCGAAGAAGCATTGAATGCTCTCAAAAATACGAATACTCTTAACAGCGGAATAGGAAAAACCATACAAAAGGTTTACACTTCTAGCAGACGAACTGGAACAGCATACAATAAATACCCCCCAACAAGAACAAGACAAGGCTCCGTGTTGAGGGTGAAGCAGGAACAGACAGAGCTGTGGGTTTATTGTTCTTATATACACATTCTTAAACATTAGTACCACACACAGGGTTTTGTAAAACAACCAATAAACACATAATACACAGTAAAACACTCTCATTCATTCCAGCAGAATCCTCCCCTCTGCCTGTGATATAATTACTGAACACAGTGGGCTAACATAATTATTACAGGCAGGAAATTACACAGTTTTACACAATATTCATAACTTTAAAAGTATACATCACATTCACATAAAACTTACATTTTCATAATCAGCATACTCCAAATACAAACATACGTCAGAATCATACAAATTGGTCCAGTGGGTCAAAAGTTAGTTGGAAGTCCCTTTGTGACCGCCCGCAAGCATGGCTTGGGTGTGGTAAGCCAATTATCTCCAGCATACAGAAAATAGCTCTATTCACAACAACAGTAAAAATACACAAAAATACATAATTCCCATTACACTGAACAGAACCCCCCACATTCAACCTATCCCCAGATAGCTTGGATTTGAGCGCTCAATATATCCGAACAGCGCTCAGATCCCACAAACAGAACAAAATCGCCATGGGGTTAAGTCTAGCATGGGCTGATGAGAGGGGCCACAGTCATGAGGCAGGAGGCTGGCAACCAGGCTTCTGCATAACCCAGTGGCGAGGTAAGTTTCGCCACAGATGGTCATTTAGATCAGGGCTATCAGGGGTTGTAAATCTTGAGGGGTTTCCATGGATTTTGGGGGTACTTTTGGTGTGTTCTGAAATTGTGTGTTTTTCTGTACCTGAGATAATTGAGTTTGTGCAGTTCCTGACTTAAGTATCTCTCAGGCACAGGGCAGGAGTTTACTGTGTGTATAAATCGTGAGTGATTGCCTGCATTAAAGAGATGTACTCCCAGCATTAAGTCTCAGCTAATATGTGGGGGAATGCTATAATTACTACTATACAGCTGTACTCTCTGGAGGAGAGCTCTGACCAGTGGGAGCTGGATCAAGGACCCTGATCCAGGGTGGGAGTAAATGGCAAATCCTCGTCAAAGCTGTGGTGGCTAAGGGGCTGAGGTGCTTATGGTGTCCTGGCGATAGCTAGGAAGTGTATTTAACGGAGGTACCCAGTAGGGGTACCAGGCGGTCTGCCTCACATGGAATGGATATCCTGTAGCAAGCAAAAATTGTTTGGGCAGACTAGATTGGCCAAATGGCTCTTATCTGCCATCACATTCTATGTTTCTATCTTACTGCACTGTATCATTAAGAGTACCTGTTGCAAGCAAAAGTTAGCTTACGGCGTATTATTAAGCAGGTGTTGGACTGCTGTAAAAGTGGAATTATCTAGTGGCTCTAATCTAACCTTACTTATCTACAGTTTGGATCCTTCTCAACAAACGTACAGTCCAAGGAAGATGTGGTGTTTAGTTTACTTTACACTTAAGGCCCTTATGCGGACTTAACTACTAGACCCTAATGAGGTGAGTATTGTCCCGGTAGGAATATACTGAGCTCATCATGCAAACACCGCAACAAATACACACTATCCCACTCTGATAGAAAGTGAAGTGTATTATTCCCCTCATTAATAAAGTTTGATAAAGCAATTAACACAACAAGAATGTGCCCAAGGAGGCGGAGCTTGGCCACCATCTTAGATGGCCACCTTTTAGAGAGGATCTGGGGGCATTGTGACTAACTCTGTGAAAAAAGAACTTTAATTCATCAACTCAGCTGCTTAATATGCACTATTTGTGCATCTGAATCATTGCTCAACATGCCGAAGAAAAAAAAAACCTGCTAAAATCGCTTCTGCAATGAAGAATATTGAGAGAAAAGTGACAGGGGTGAGTAAGGGACTGTCAGTCCAGCATGCATCTTTGCAAGGAACATCTTAAGGCTTATTTCGCCACCAGGAATGATCACAGACCCCACAGGTACTCCTGATGCATCCCGCCTGCCTCCCGGACCTGGAACATATTCGGCCGTGGCTGCAGCCCGCTCTCATCATTTATTGTGTGGCAGGACTGCGGCCGTGAGAGAGGGGACCGGGTATACATGCATCAAGCACTCGGATCGCTTGCCGTCTTCACCTGCGAGTGGTTTGGTGTGCAGAGAGCCGGGGCCACATGCTAAGGCAGCCCAGTCATTCACTTATAAAAGTGACCAGGCTACTAATATTAAAGTGGGCGGAGCTAGATCCCAATCCTGTTGGGATCTGTGGCCTCACAGCTGTCTGTCCCGGCAGGAGGGTCCACTACATTACATATTAAAGGGCCACATGCTCTAAGCGGGGACGAGAAAGAAACAGACAGTCCTGAAGCTTTTGAAGCTGAAAGTGAGGGTGAACAGATTGACACACTGAGTGCTGCTGCCACAACCAAGATGGCCACATCTACTAAACTCACTACTGCCACCACCACCAAAATGGCCACTGCCACCTCTAAGATGGCTACTCCACACATGGAAAAAAACATATCTACCAAAGCTGCTGCTTACAACCCAACTATGCCACCAGAGATGACTGCAGGATTGCCGGCATCTGCTGATATGCTAAAAGAACTTAAAAATAGATCTGAGAAATGATTTCAAGAAAGACTTTGAAGGAATTTATGGCTTTATAGAGAACATAAACCTGTGCAGAGAAGAGGTAGAAAATAGCATACTTTTCCAAGAGCAAGCACATCTGGAATTAGAGGAGAAGGTGGAAATGCTTCAAAAACAGCTCAATCAACAGGCTGAAAAATTAGCGGATGCAGAAAACAGGAGTCGCCGCAATAACTTGAGAATTAAAGGAATTCCTGATGCTGTTGACAACTAGTGATGTCGCGAACCCGAAATTTTCGGTTCGCGAACGGCGAACGCGAACTTCCGCAAATGTTCGCGAACCGGCGAACCGCCCGAAACGCCATTGACTTCAATGGGGAGGCGAATTTTAAAACACACAGGGACTCTTTCTGGCCACAATAGGGATGGAAAAGTTGTTTCAAGGGGACTAACACCTGGACTGTGGCATGCCGGAGGGGGATCCATGGCAAAACTCCCATGGAAAATTACACAGTTGATACAGAGTCTGGTTTTAATCCATAAAGGGCAGAAATCACCTAACATTCCTAAATCACAATCAATATGGATTGACACCTGACATATGACATGTTGACACCTTGACATATGGATTGACACCTGTCCTCAGAGCCCCTGATGCACACGGACACAGAGCAGAATAGAGACTGGTCCCCCTACATAGGGTCACTTGGCAGATATGGATTGACACCTGTCCTAAGGATCCCTGATACACACTGACACAGAGCAGAATAGGGACTGTTCCCCCTACATCGGGTCACTTGGCAGATATGGATTGACACCTTGTTACAAACTGCTATTTGTAACGGGCCCTTTAAATGGCAAATTGCCCTGTTTCCCTGGGTTGTGGAGAAGCCTCTTTGCCAGCCTCCTCCCGCATGACTATGGCCCCTGGGAGATTGTGAAAATGTATGCACTTTTATTTGGTGTGTATGGCCCTTTAAGACTGTCGGTGGGCATATTGGGGCTTATGGACTCTTTATGTGACTGGTGCTGGCCCTTTAAACACCTTTTTTGGGACATCAGGAAGATTGGGACACTGCCCCTTTAAGGCCGTGTCCCCAGACTTGTTGGGGACACGGCCCCTTTAAGACGGTGTCCCCTGTGTCCCCAGACCTGGTGCAAAACCTTTGTGCCTGCCTTGCTATTTCCCACTTGGTTCAGTAAATGGGAAATTATTTCAGCTGCAGAGACTAACTAAGTCCCATTCGGCGATGGGACTTAGTCTTTTTTTCAGCCGTTTTTTTCAGCCTTATTTCAGCTGCAGAGACTAAGTCCCATTCGCCATGGGACTTAGTCGTTTTTTCAGCC